ATGAAACAAATCGCTGAGAAAATTGCTTATCTGAATCGATACTATGCCCGTTTGGGACCTGTGAACTACCATGGTGTCTGTCCGCATTGCTTGGCGGGTACGGGCCCTGCTGTTCCTTTTGAGGACGTGTCGCATGAGCCATCCTGGGCTGCGACACTTCATCAGGAGCGACCTTGGGACTCCACGCCTGCAATGTGCAGTGTGCCACACGACCCCGTTGCACCTGAAAGAGTTCTGAAATACGACGTGTTCCATTGCTTTAAGGTTGGCTTGGGCAGGGACATCTGTGGCACACTGGTTTTACTAGCCCGCCTTGGATATTACGACGATCCTGGTGCCAGCGAAGACAGAAATATCAAGGCGAGGCTGAACCGGGCCTATCAGCATTTCAGGCTTTGGCGGTTGGCATCGGGCAAGACGGCTGCATTGAGATACTTTTCGCCGAGCCTGTTTAACCTCAAGCGGCTATCGGACTACGCTTGGGCGAATACGAAGGGAAGTGACACGACACTGCTTCTGCAATACATCAAATTCTTTGTCACGATCCTTCTGCAGAGACCAAGGTTGCCTCGGGGCCATGCCCACTTGTTTCGGCTTCTCCGGAAGACAATTGAAGAGTCCCAGAAGGCCTTCGAGATGATGTATTCGCATGGAGTGTGGCTTCGCCGACCGTGTGCACAGAACTTGTACTTGAGACTGATGTCGGTGCTTTCGGGATACCAACATCTCGCTCACCACGCAGTGGGCATGGGCATGTCTTTCTTTGCTTTGAAACCCAAGTTCCATGCCATACATCATTTGGCATATGATCTCCGGGTAGCATTGCTGACCGATGCAAAACTGATCCCCAACCCTATCACTTGGAACTGTGAAATGGGTGAAGACCTGATCGGTCGAGTGTGTTCTTTATCGATGAAGGTCTCGACCAGGACGATCAACAAGAGGGTGCTGCAGCGACACTTCCTCAAGAAGGCTGCTTTGATCCGGAGGCATCGAAAGAATCGATCCGAGCAAAAACTGC